TTTCTCAAAGGATTTAGGGCTCGCTTAGCGCTTTGTTAGGCATGGTTGGGTTTTGGTTTTGGTTAAGGTTTCGATTATAACAGCTCGCAGCTTGGTATGCGTGCGAGTAGGGAGTGTGTTTGTGGGGTGTGTATTGTCGAGTGCAAGGCAGGGGTGTGTGTGTGTGTGTGGCAAGTAAACTGCAAGGTCATTGCGTGCTTTGGCATATTAGCAGGGATTTGCTGTCGCCTATGGGCGTGTAGGCTAACCAAGACATAGCACATACGTACAAATATACACAGAACTCTAAGCTGCCTACTGATTGCTATTGATTTTTTGCACGCTACGCACTCGCACAGTGCGTATGAGTAATGTGTCTGTGTGTGCAAGAGATACAATCGAATAGCAAATTATCAATGACTAAAAGTCGTGATGTTGCATAAATATATAGTGATAAGTTGGAAAACGTTCATTAATAACCATAGTGGGTGTGCTTATGAAATGAGCGTTCTCTGCACGACTTCTCGGGTTCAGTCCTGCTGATGTCACGCACGATGGACAAGGTAATTTGAGACTCACAACTAATTAATCAGATCGAGCTGCTAAACAATATAGTCGGACATTCTATAAGCTTAAATCCTAACCTTTGCAACCTATTTTTCCAAAAGCCATCCGCGTCTGATTATGAACAACAAGTTCGGGAGTAACTCGAAGGGTACTCGTACTCGTATAGTATACATCTTCACATGCAAGTAATAAACCCCCTAGGGCCGCCTGTTTGGCTGCGGTTAGCCAAAACAGTCAAGGCAGAGGAGGACTCGAGCATGGGTTGGTTTTATTGAGTGCCAAATACAAATAGTCCTTGGCTTGCATGCTCCTCTGGCTGAGACAAGTAAATAAATTGTTTTGTGTCTTTGCTACATAATTCAGACAGACACTTGACTACAAATCTGATTTGTAGTCGCCATGTTGTGTGTTGCATAAACGCAAATGAACAGATATACAAGAGCCTTCAGCCCATTGTCAATTAGTTTTGAATTGGCCAACAATTTTAATGGTGTTCTGGGCTTCACCATTGTCATTATATGGTATTAATTGGTAATTAGAGAAGTGAGTTCGAATTGAAAAATGATTAGATTTGCCATACGAATCGTTTAATAATCATTTTCTATTTCTTTGATTTTGATTTTTTGAAAGGTATGAAAGCCAACTAAAAAACCTTGACCTCCGATAGAACTCACCCTCACAGCAGAAAACAAGTATTATTGAAATAAATATGATTTTTGTTTAGCCAGGCTTGTTTACCCGCGCACATAATATCCAGATACATCAGAGAGTCAGAGTTAATTATTTTAATGTATATTGCGATCATTGTCATGAATTTATTTTGCAAACGAGGAATTAATCATCTGTAAATAATAAAACTTTTATTTATTTTATTTTTTTAAACCCTTCCCCGACTCTTTTGAGTCTAAAGGTTTCAATTTAAATCAACAACATAAAGGTATTTGTTATGTTTGTTTAAAATAGAAATTCAATTAAATACAGACAATGCTACTAAATTTGTGATCTATCAATTGCATTGTATCCATTGTATCCTAGTTTGTCCGTAATTTTAAAAATTTGAAGTGCGCTCAAGTCTAATTAATGGATGGCCATATGTACATATACACGAGCAGTTCAGCGGCATTCTGGTTGCTATGTACACGCAAGAGCTATTTGGAATTCCATTATGAATTCTGTAGACAAGTAATTGAATCTAAAGTACTTCGTTTGTCACACAAACACGTTCGACTTCTATTCTATTCCATTATAAATAAACCAAAAGTTATTCAGCAGTGAGTTAGGACCTCCCTTCTCGGCGCACGACCGCTGAAGCCGGAATAAATATCAGCAGTGGCAACCACAACAACAACAACTGCAATGTCAAACAACAATTGAATTTATGTTTAGTTAAAATACACACATAAATATCCCATACACTCATGCACACCTACACCCACACACATATACACCCGCACCCGCCCACACCATAATTGCTTGCGGATGTGTGAGCAGATATTGATATATTGACGAATGTCAAATACAAAAAAAGGAATTGCGAGTGCCGCATAACAATTTTATATCTGTGTGTGAGTGTCCTTAGATTTGTGGTGTATGCATGTAGATTTGACATTTTTGCGACTTTTATTTGCTTCAAAGGAATATTTATAAAGCGACGTACCTGAAAGCCTGGATATTTGAGTATTAGGGCTCGAGTGTAAAAGTATTTTTAACTGTTAGGTCAATATACATATTAAAATAATAATCAATGCCAATCTAATTTTAATTTGTAGATGCCAACTTCTATATCGGACAGACGGTCCACCAATGTTTATGAATAAAACAACTTTCATAAGTGTTACTCAAGAGTAAAACAATATAGAACCCTACAGTCGAGCAAGCCCGACTAAATATACACCAGAGTCGTATCTCTGCGAGTTTTTATGCCTGTATGTATGCAGCACAAAGTTGAACTAAAGCAGCAACAACAACAGCAGCTGCGGGCAAAGCTTATATTTATGGCTATAACTTTCTTCATAATTGACCTATCATCATGAAACTTGGCATACAGACACATAATCACTAACGTGATGTAATAACCAAATTCGAAATTTCAAAAATTTCGGGAGTTTTGGAAAAATCACGAATTGCTGGGGAATGGGGGGGGGGGGGGGTGTAATAATATAATAGGGCTCAGGAGAACCTGAATACGAAGTCTGGTTATTCTAGCTCTTATACTTGCTGCGATCCTTGCGTTCATACAGACAGACGGACGGACACACAGACGGACATGGCTATATCTACTCGTCTTCTCATACTGATCAATAATATATATACTTTGTGGGGTCTGCCACGCGTCCTTCTACCTGTTACATACATTCGCACATGGTATACAAAGTTGAACATAAGTCCAATGTTTCTTTACCTGAATATGTAAAGCCCTTCAGATTGTTGTTGTTCCAAACGTTGGATTTAAATTTGAGGAAAGAAATCGTGTAGTGGCGCTTGTAGCTATATTTCTCTTTAAGGCAAAGTTTGAGAAGCACTGGGCTTAAATACCGCCCAGCTGACGATAGCGAAATTTGCTGTGGGTTGCAATGGGCGTTGGATGTGTTGCAAAGGGAGAAAGTCTCTCTCAGGAATTTCTAAATTCCCCAGACGCTGTCCCATCATAGTTAGGCCGCCATCACAATTTCAAGCCGTGAAACGTGATAGTGCAGTTTCTATTTGTATTCTTTAAGTTGTTTCAAAATTAAACTAATTTCAAAATTTACATGTTTAAACATACATGATGAAAATATTGTTGCTTAAGTGCCAACGTTGCCGAATTTATAATTGGAACGAGGAAAATTTAATATTTTTCTTTGTCTGCGCCAAATACAAGGGGTAAGTTTTTAATGCAGCGGGTACGGTGTAGTCAGTCCATATAAGTATATAAAAATTGGTTACAGGTTATTGCGATAAAGTAAAAACGGAAGCAAACTCTAAAGAAGCGACTGGCAGTGGCTCAATTCCCTGAATTTGAATTTTCCCGCGCATGAGCAGCGGACTTTGAACCTCATTTGCAAGAAAAGGAGGTAAAAAAGAGGTAAAATCAATCAAAAATTTTTTTTGTAATTCTCTTAAATTTTTTTTAATTTCTATAATTGTTCTAAACATATGTACAGAGTATTTCAAAGTCGGGACACCCGACTTTAGCTTTTTTACTTGTTTTAATATTGTAATGTAATAGTTAGAGTAGCACCCGACATATTTATTTCTGAGCTGGATGGATTCCCACCCTAAAGCCGACGAGCTAGAGCCGGAAAACTGAGCGTGCGCCAGTATCAGATAGTTGAACAGTCCTTGGTAGCCGCTGAGCAAGCGGTTAAACGTTACAGCTACAATCGCCTATTTGGTTTTGATAAATCCTATTATGCGGAGGGCATCCAGGAACATAAGGTTAGACTGGGAAAAAACTGACTTTTCATTACAAAGCCAAATTGCTTGCACGAATTTTAAACCAACGCCGTGGATTTGATTCAATTTCATAAAAAGCGAATAAATATTAAATGCTTAAGAAAGTTAATTCAAATAGCAAGTAATTCATTTAATGAAGTATGTATATACATACTATATACCTTTTATCGTTATGATATGTATAAGCAAAATAAAATATAACTAAAATGTAAAACTTATGTCCAGTCTTAAATGTGATTCAATTTATTCACATCAATTTGATATCTCTAAGGCTTATTTAAATGTGAACTAAGTATTAACTAAATCTGTCAAGATTCCTTATGCTTACATTTATTTCTCATTGCACTTTCAAGTTTAATTGTTTGCTTTCAACAAATATGATCTATCGCCATAGATTACAATGAACAATACTTTGTAATTCAACTTCAAATAAAACAAAGCCTTACACATAAACATAACACACGTTATTAGAAACTACAAACTCTTTTTTTAAGTAATCAAAAATATAAATAGTTGAATAAAAGAGTATTTAAACATCAGCCGAGCACCACTCTTGCAATACCTAATAGGTTTTGATCGAACAAGCATCAATTGAAAATGGAACTAAGCACTTAGCGATATCTTTGAACGAAAACAACAAAAGCACTTGACAATTTCTGAAGCTACTTATTTAACGTTATTTCTTTGTATTTCTTGGTAAGATACTCATCATTTCTTGAACAAAATGAAGTGCAATTTGTTTACAAGCACTAAACGAATGCCCTTATCGCCACTATTTGCAAATGTTTATTGCTAATCTTTTGTAATGGCATCAAGCTCTCTTATATTTTGCTAGCAAAGGCTGATAAATATAATAAATAAATACTGTGTTTATTAGTTTATCAATACGCCTTTGAAAACAAACAAAAAATTCCACTTGCAACAATGAACCTTGAAGATTAGAGCTCCGTAAGTCTGATGGTCAAACATTATTGTATCCTGTAAGTACTCTATAATAGATAAATCGAATGCTGAACAGCTTGTTTGTGCATAAGTATGTATTTCAATTGTTCAATTTGAAAGTAATCACTCATACATATTAACACAATTTGATAGCACCTTTCAAACACGCATATTCCATTTGTCCGCTTATCAACAGATCGGTGTAGGCAAAGCAAAGCCCGCAAAAAATGCGTAAGTGCGCCCGCATTTCCAGGAAACATGGCTAATTGTTGCTAGCCAATTATCAATTATTTTCTTATCAATGATGGCAAGCCGGCACAGCAGAAGAAGAAATGCCACGATTGCTCTGCTTGGGGACGCCCCCATACCCTAAGTATTACAAATATAGTAGCTCTTCATGATTTCCTCCGCTCACTTGGCGCAAATGCAATATTTCTTGGCCTCCTTGTCGGTTATGCATTTGGCGTCATTTTCATATTTGCTTAAGCGACTTATGTCATTAACATCGATGTCGATGCGTTCCGTCTGTCTGTTCCATCTGGTAGTCGCCTCGAAGAGCGCTTTCTTCGGGTTCGCTTCGTATTGAACTCGATAAGCCATAAAATTGCTATTCGCATCGAGCTGCTCCTTGGTCTCGGCTGAAACAATTTTGTGGAGGGTCAGCTTGCTGCATACATCTGTAAGGTTCCTGGCTACTAAGTATTCGTTGGTAGCCTCAACCAATTGTGATGTCAGCCTCTTCACAACCGCATCTATAGTTTTAGACTCTTCATACATATTACACGTGCACCAGTGCTCGGAAATTCCCGCATCGGAACAAGTTCTGTTCTCCGGCATCTCGAAGAAAATGCTGTGGCAATCGGGACATCCATCAGCTCGAGGCAAATCGGCGGCCGACGTATTCAATTTTAATATATGCTGGAGCGTGGCATAGATATCATAGTTTGATGTCAGGCGGTTCCTATTTAGCTCCAATGCTCGAGCAAAGGAGGCATATTGCTTGCGAAACCATTTGGGCAACCAAATGTACATGTTTGGCATGCGCTCTTCCAGAAAACCACTCTTCAACTTTCGAAGTGGTCCAAAGCGCATGCCATGATCGCTGAAGAAGAGAATGATGGAGTTTTCCATGATGCCGTTCTTCTCCAGTGTGCGCATATACTCGACAGTTCTCTTATCCATGGAGGAGGGCAACGAGAAGGAGTTGTGGCTGAAGGAGTTGGTCCAGAACAAGCCAAAGGAGGGTTGAGACTTAAAGATTTTTGTGAAGTCAATGGCATAGTCATAGATATACTCGGCGTAGTGTCGGCGACCAATACAGTCTGGAATGCCAGATTTTTTTTTGCTCATCAATGTCTTTTCAATGGCCATGACAAATGGCCGTAGATAGTAATCAGTGGGTGGCTTCAGGAATCCTTTCTTTAGGTAATTAAATGTGGCAAATTTCACCCAGTCCTCGGCATAGGCGGTTGCGTAGCCCTCCTCCTTGTAATCATTCCAGAGGAAGTGACAAGCGTCTAAGCCACCGACGTTCTTCGGCTTGCAAAGGGAATAGGCCATTGTGGAGTTGTAGCCCGTTAGTAACGCCATTAAATTGGGATACGTATTATCGCCCATCTGTTAGGAAAAAAATGCGCTTGCTTCTGGGAAAAAAGGCAACAAGACCAACAAGACATGGCCTACTTACCTTATTATAGCCCTGTAGCTCGTACCAGGACTGGTCTCTCAGATACTTGTATGTCAATGGCATGGTACGCTGAAAGTTTATTCTGGATAAGGAGTCGATTCCCCATAGAAGAACGCTTAGCTTTATCGACTTATCGGGGGTATTGTTGCGAGGTGGATGAACAAAAGCGAAAGCGTCCTCTTGAAGCACCTTCGTTGTATTCATTTTCTGACACTCTGTGATGATGGCCTTCACATGCTGTGGAACCACAAAATCCTGGTGAAAATTACTACAAGGGAGCAGGCTGGATAGTAAGATACTGGTCTGTGATTTCTCATACTCTATGTTTTAATTTTAAGGTATTTACAGGTAGTTGTCATCCGCCTTTTTTCCACTTCCGGAACGTTCAATAGTCTTGTAACAGCAGCCAATGCTCTCATCGTTCATATGGAGTTTGTAGCTACTGTCCTGGCTATCGAATTTTACGGTAATTAGATCTCGACTCTTATTACAAATGTTGTATTCCTTTTTTTTGAATATTTTAAGCGCATCTGCGGAAAATGGATTCACCTTGGGCATATGACACTGAGAGGTATACACAAAATATTTATCCCCTATCTCGGAATCAGCTGCCGCGGTTCTCCCTGCAAGTATCCAAAATTCTTACATGTATATGCTTAAAAGCAAAACCCTCCGCTTCTTACCCGGCACGACTGTTGAAGAGGAAGTGGTTCTTCCTCTGGGTGGTGTTATGGTGCGCACTGTTATCGAGTTTGTCGTAGATGACGTGTTTGACGTTGTTACAAAAGCCGTCGCATTTGCATTCCAAATAGTCGTTGTAGATAACTCTTCCGCATGAGTAATTTCTGCTTTATGATTTATATTGGGATCTGTTGGTTTAGTTTGTTTAAGTCTTGAATAGTTTGATTACCATGTGCGTCGATTAAAGAAGACGTGGTTTGCCTTATGGGTGGCATCGTAGTCCTCATCTTTGTCGAATCTGTTTTGGCGAGTAATATCTTGCTAGGCAATGTCCAACTTGTAGGCTCAAGCGCTTGTGTAGAACTTTTCTCCTGATTAGTTGATTCGGCAAGCTCCTTGAATTTTCCCTCTTCAATGTCTCTTAATGGCATTTGATGATTTGATCTCATCGACTGTTTTTCGATCAGCAGTTGCCCGAAGTTGACGATTTTTCCAAATTGCCAGTTATACACGACAACGAGCATAATAATGGCACACGTAAAGGTAGCCTTGAGGAAAATTCGGTCTGAGTTTGTATCATTAGGCTCGAGGTTCTCGTCGTCGATTTCTCGCTGGTCAATAAGCTTATATTTTATTCTTGTCATACTTTTCTTTTCGCTATTTTACACTTATTTGCGGTCTGCTCGCAACGTCGACTCTCTGTATACTGCCGCGCTTGTTATCGCAGCTCCATATGGCCTAACTTATTTTATAGTCGGCAGCTTAATACTTTGGTTCGGCAATGGAATTCTTATCTTTCGGCTCTAACTTTGTAATTGCCTTTCGGTTTTCCATAATAAATGTTTCGACAACGATTTAAATATAAGCAACCGTCCACATATGAGAATATTTTGTAATGATTAGGCGGGCCCTCATATCTTTTGTGAATGGCCGAGTATTCTTATTTCAATGTAATCGTATTTGTATGCATATTTTATCATAATTAGTGTGTCGGGGCTCGGGGAATTAGAATTCCACATACGCTTTCAGATAATATCAGAGCTAAGCAAGAGTCTTCAGTTGGAGAGCCATCCAATCACAGCAAATGTGTACTCAGATAGTTGGTGTTCATTCTAATCAACAGGGCCTGGCATAGCTCCACGAGCTAGCATGAATCCCACAATGTGAGTTCGTTCCTTGAGTAGGCCCTCGGTTCGAATCACACCGCAACCATCATGGCAGGAGCATGATTAAAAAAATTTTAAAGTTATCATAAAATTTAATAAATGTCAGTCCAACCTAGGACAAGTCTTAAAAAATATTTAACAAAAACAAGCGGAGAAGCTAAAGTCGGGTGTCCCGAAAAATACATTTTCTGCGTATTCACATAAGGCATCTTGGATTTCAAATTTAATGTCCCTAGGTCTTATAGTCTCCAAGATATAGGCGATTATACGAATGGAAAATCGGGAAAACCCCCATAGGGGGAAGTGGGGGGGAAAATCAAAAAAATAAAACAAACTCGTATAGAATACACACATAACGCATCTTTGTGCAAAATTTGGTGTCTCTATCTCTTATAGTCTCTGAGATCCAGGTGTTCATACGGACGGACAGACAGACAGACAGGGCTAGATCGACTCGTCTTGTCACGCTGATCAAGAATATATGTGGGGTCTGCCACGCCTCCTTCTGCCTGTTACATACATTCGCACAGAACTAGCCTTTCACCCTTTGGGTACAGGCTATAAAAATAAACCTGACCGGCCTAGGGCTCAGGGGAACCTGGATACCAAGTTTGGTCACTCTAGCTCCTTGCACTCATACAGACAGGCGGACAGACGGACATGGCTATATCGACTCGGCTTGTCATCCTGACCAATAATATATATACTTTGTTGGGTCTGCCACGCCTCTTTCTGCCTGTTACATACGTTCGCACTAAACTAGTATACCCTTTCACCCTTTGGGTAGGGGGTATAATGACAAATGCTCTTAAAAGTGATTTCAATTTGAATTTGAGCAAAGTGATTATTGTAGAGAGGCAGCAGAAATGTTCCTGATAAGAAAATAAAATGTATTGTTCCCTGTTATTCATATTTGTGGTTTGATTCGACTTGGACGCCAAGATCTGGTCTTAATAGTTTAAAATCAATTTTATTTGAGCATCAAAGTTACTGTGTTTTGATATGGAGTTTTATTGTCAGCTGTATCAGTGTCTGTTAAATGTGAATAGGCTTTAATGGGCCAGAACGAATTGTGTATTGTAAATGATTTTTGATTGGAAGTAGTCCTATAGTTACTATACTTGTATATACAGATGTACTACAGATTACTAGTCTTTGGCCTCTTATAGTACATTACTGTTTATTCGCCTATATGCTTTAACAGCAACAAGTTTCTGCTGTTAATTATGCCTCCCACCCAACCACACCACACGCACACATGGCACACATTAGAGTGTATATATAATCTGGTAACTACTACGACAACGATAGTTGCACGCAGCAGTTGGGAGCATCACATGGCTACACATGCTTATGTGATTAACTTAACCAGATGTTAATTATAATTGAATTAAACGACTAGCAGAGTTTGCCCATTAAGTGAGAGATGCCTAGGACGTGCATTCTGAGCTTGTTTAAAGTTTTAATTTTATGAAATACTCGTACATAATTTAATTGTTGGAGGAGTACAATTATCTAGCTCGAGTTCATGTGAAGGCACGATTTGCACGACTTTCTCATTTCGGAAGCGGCAAAAATCAATTCTACTCAGCTTTGAACGCATTCACAGCTCACGCAGCGAAAAAGGTCAGAATTCAGAAACGAAACTTAATTTTCTTGGCCGGATTTTTGCATATTTTATGAACCCTAACAGCCGGCATACGCATTCCGCCCTCGCTTCATGCCCTGGCAGCGGCAGCCCTAATCCAATCATAAAAGTTGCGCCACTGAGTTCCTTTAATTTTATACACAAACAAAAACTCTGAACTTGCGACCAAGACGGGAGCAAAGGGTTTTCGGCCTATTTGAGAGAATTTATACGCATATATACTCAAATGGTTGTGTGGGTGTATGTGGAAGTGCCTACAAGTGTTGAAGTGTGAGCCGAAATTGGCTTACAAAATATTTAACATTTTATTTGTGCATCAGTTGAATTAAATCTGAAATGCTGCAGATTAGGGTATGGTGTAATAATCAAAGCCGGAGAAGACGCGTCGTCGACAACATAATTTGCAGTCATTTGGCTGCGGATTTAAATCGCCGACATTTTGTTGCTCGTCGGCGTTGATTTTAATTATGGCCTGTTTATCAGCACTTAATGCGTGTCCTGTGCGAACGACATTAAATTTTTAACGATCCCGTCCTCTACACTCGTGCTTCAGCACTCAACGTATGCCATGAAAAAGATTTGCATTTGAATCCGTAGGAAGCGGCTTATGGTCTTCCTACATTTTATATAATCGTCCATAAGAGTGCAATTGAATGTAAGTCTGAAATGTTTATAACTAAGTATGTAAGTACAGCGTTGATAATGCTGCAACCCAGTTGCAATAAAAATGTACTTTTATTTTATCAACTGAACTACAAGTTGTTTTCATTTGAATAAGTGCCAGAAGCTACATCTTCCGATTGCACAAGTCAGGCGTTCGAGACGCGCTAGTAGCTAGTAAGAAGCTGAGTGCACACAAATATAGAGTCGGATCCTTTGGCTCCACTAAATGGCAATTTGTAATTTCGAGTCATCATTTGTATTTCTCAGCTTTTACTTAAAGGTTTAAGTGGCAAGGGCGTATGCAGCTTCTACCAAAGGGGGCCTAAAATTTTTTTTGGGGTAGGGGGGGGGGGGGGCAACGAGATGTACTAAATATAATCGAATCGATATATTCATCTGTTCGTCTGTATGAATATCAAGAACGTATGTAGTTTAGAGCAAGTTCAGACCATATATACATAGTTCCACTGCCACAGGAACGATCCACTCTTAGTAGGATATTATTTTCGTTTAAGAGGACAACACACTACATCGTTGCTATAGGAATAATCTGTTCAGAAAACAATCTGTTTTGCTTATAAATATTTCTGGTATGAGTATTTGTCAGTTTTGTATGGGGTCTTACCATTATCTGAAGCTTTAAGAAAATCGGTAAACTACGTCGTTCCGCAATAGGAACGATTCCTATAGCCCAGTTTATTTAACTTGAAATAAGGTAGTGGAAAAGAGGGTGGGTTGCGAATTATGCAAGAGCCAGTCTGGCACGACTTTAACGTTCAGCACGTTCTAAATAAAGTGCTTTTCCTGGCTTGACAATCAGACAAATACATATTAGCCAATTAGTTCTAGAAGCACTTTTTATCTTAACAAAAACCTTTGTTGTGCTATTACTTGTCAACTGCTTACACCTATTTACATAATGACTTTTTCAGTCGGCTCTAAAAAAAGTAATTAAAATTGTTGTATATGAGCAGATGTAAGCTCAATAGAAAAACAAGAGAGAACGCTACAGTCGAGCAAGCCCGACAGTGTAATACCCTGTACCCAGGTAAACTTCCGTCACTGAGTTATATGCGCCCAAAGCAGCAGCAAAAAGAGGAAGAAGAAGAGCGAACTTGTTGCTGCAGTTTGTGGGGGTTGTACTGGCGAGAATTTGTTTTGCTAATAACTTTTCTTTCCCTCAAAGATGCTATACGCACGGAATGGGCAGAAATAACTCCTTTGGAGACATCCAACTTAGTCGGAAGTATGCGTAGGCGCTTAGAAGCAGTTATCCAGGCCAAGGGCGGTGTTACAAAATATTAGGTCTGTAAAGGTTACCGTTATATTTGCAAATATACGACGAATTAATGCTGTGTGCCAAGACTTTTTTTTATGTGTTTTCAAGCTATTTCTTTCTTCTTTCTTCTGTATTTTCAGTTGTATGAGAGATAACGGAACAAGTTCACGTGTTGTGTAGATAATTACCGAATGTTACTAACTGCATCACAAAAAATTGTCAAAGCCCATCAATAATAAGTATTAAATACGTTCGCTGTAAGCTTTGCCCACGCACTGCCCGCAGCTATTATTGTTGTTGCTGCTGTGCCTGCACTCTGCGCTGCTTGCAATACACACAATATGTATGCAATACACAGTTAAGCATAGACAAGCAAAGACACGCATAGACACGCATAGACACGCATACCCTGACATAGACGCAATTCCTATGTAAATGTGCAGTTATACACCCTTTACACATATGTGCAGAGTATTTCAAAGTCGATACACCCGACTTTAGCTTCTCCACTCGTTTTAACTACGATTTACCAGTTAGCGAACACTTTTTAACTCTTTAACCACTGAACAAGTTGCTTTTATTCCGCAGCTCAACATTTCAATAAACGAAAATGGGCTACTGATGTCGTTTACATGAAGTCCTTCAAATGTTTCGCTCAGCTATTTTGCATAAACTTTTTTCCCATCGCCCACACATTGCAGTCTGTAAATTGGGCTGATAAGCGACTGGCACGTATGAGTGGCTTTTTGGTGAAATGCTTTTGCATTTTCTGCATTTTCAGTGCCAAAAAGTGCGGGTGAAGTTGCAATGGAGCAGTAAAACTTGCAAAGGAACGCCCTTTCTATCATTTGGCCCAAAGGTGAGTGCCCAAGAAATTTGTTGTCTATATCTTTACGCATGAGTGACATTTTGCTGGCTTTGTCATTGAAATGGGAGGGAAAAGTTGGCAAAATGCCTGCACTTGCCTCCTCGGCTGTTCAATTTCTATTCAGCAAAATGTGCCTGGTTGGGCAGAACTG